TAATAGATAATTGACTAAATAAACATCCTGCAAAGTTTCAATAAAAATTTCCAAGTTTTTCTTACAATTTCCGTGGTTTTTATTCAATTTTTTCCGATACCGATAATATCCCGATATTTCCATGTTTTTTGACTTCCGATATTTCCGATACCTCCGATATTTAAGACCTTGATGTGAAGAGATCATCCCACCAACAATCCAAATATGCAGAAAGCAAGAAGAAGTAATCCAATTCTTTGGCTCCACACGGCAAGCAAGGAGCAAGACTTTTGGCACCATCTGAAAATAAAAACGACTTATTAAGCAGTCTAAAAATAAATAAGGGCATGTTTGTCCAACCACTACAAAATACATATGTATACGTCCTTTTGAATGAATACAGCACCGAATGGGCTGCATCCTAAAAGCCCAAATAAAAAACCAATTGGCACTCAACCGGCTAGGAAAAATGAAAGGAAAGGAAACAGAGCAGGGTTTTAGAGGGTTTAACCTTTGACAACAAACGTCTTCCCTTCCCTCTGTCTCTGTGTTAAGTCTAACAACTTGAACCCTTCAACAAGCCATCGGCCATGGGCGTTGCACAAGACTCCTCGGCCGACCCTCCGAAGAACAACAAGCAAAAGTACTCTCTCTCTCTCTCTCTCTCTCTCTCTCTCTCTCTCTCTCTCTCTCTCTCTCTCTCTCTCTCTCTCTCTCTCTCTCTCTCTCTCTCTCTCTCTCTCTCTCTCTCTCTCTCTCATTCTAATTTTCGATCTCTTACTATTCAAATTAGGTCTAATGATGGAAAGCAAATTCCTCATTCGGCCATTGATAAGGAATTCCTCGCCGCTCCTATCAAATCTGCCAAGGACAAATTCGCGCTTGTACCTGAGTTTCTAAAGATTTGAACTGAACATAGATCATTTACTCGTTTTTCTCCTTCTAAATTTTGTTATTGTACTCATTTTTGTTCTTTTCATTGTTGTTGTTATTATCATTAAGTGCAATTAAAAAGAAAGGAATTATGTTAACATATAGGTGAGAGGGCTGGTAAAGCAACATTTGGACTCGTTTAATTACTTTGTGAACACGGGAATCAAGAAAATTGTTCGTGCCAATGATCGGATTGTGTCTGGCGTCGACCCAAGTATTTATCTCAGGTTGAGTACTTTTTTTTTTATTGATTTTTCTTATGGTTCGTATTTCACTGTTTTAGTACGAATAAAATTTTCCTGGTTGTGTGATTGTGCTTGCTTAGTTGGTAATCTTATCTCTAATGTCATTGCTTGAACGTCAGTGATGAACTTTCATCAGGAAAATACATACAAATGAAACAATTAAAATGTATGTAAGCTGTTTCCAAGATCTTCTATTCAGTCTATTGACTTGTAAAGGAACATTCTAAAATAGAAGAAAAGCTACTCAAACCCCAAATCATTCAATTTCATAAAAAACTAACATTCTAGCTTATTGGGAATGAGGAATCCACAGACACATTGGCAATTGGAGCACTTTTAGAGTTGGAAGTCTATAAAGTCACGGGAAAGATGTGCACAAGGGAAACTTCCCTATCTGCGAAGTCTCCTAAAACCAAATCTGTTCCCATTCCCCACCACTAACCGGAGAAAGGCAAGAAAGAGCTAAAACCCAGAGACATGTCCTTCCAGGCTTGTTTTAATTTCTGTTAAATTGTATCAGAAATCTGGAAAGTGAAAATTTACCCTATATAATGGTTGTTTAAAGGGTTTGAACATTTCAGGCAGTTTAATATATACTTGTCCTTTTTGTGAAGAACATTTCAGGCAGTTTAATATGCACTTTTTGTTTGGTCCAGGTTTAAAGATATTTCTATTGGTGAGCCCTCGCTTACAATGGATGGTGTGGCTGAAAAGATTGCTCCCCATACATGCCGCTTATCTGATATGACGTAAGATCTGTTTGATAGACTTCTCATTTAATTTGTACTGGATTGCACTGTATTAATCACAGTGGTGTGATTTGTGATTTTGTACTTTTGGTCTGTCCAATTTAATAAAAGTTATTTATTTGTTTCCTTGTTTTTATTCTCCTTTGGGATCCATTTGGATGAAGTGATTTTAAATGGGATGAAGGGATTTTAAATTGTTTGTTTGGACTACTACAATCTATGTATGCTAAGATTTGAATAAGAATATGGATTCCAAATGTCTACTTGCATATAATCACTTCAAATGTACTACATCTAGTTATTTCAAATACATTCAATCTTATGTTTTATAGTTAAATTTTTTTTTTATTACGGCACATTTAGCTTTTTTGTCCAAATCCTGTCATCCAAACGGAGCCTTGGTTTTGCATCATGTATACCTTGTGTAGTTGTGTCACATCCTGAATATTACTTAAAATGTATAATGAAATAGAAAAGAGACTAAACTATACTGAGGTCTTGAAATTTGTTGTTGGCTTAAACAAAAAATATACTATGAAATATTAGGTGTGTTATGATTCTTTATATGGAGTTCCAAATTTGTAGGTTTTTTTGCAAACTTTATTCTTAAAGAATTTTTTTATAAATTTTTTTCTGGTTTGCGGTGATTTCTTATCCCTCTTTCTTTAATTTCAGATTAGTTGAAAGTTGATTTTTGTGTCTGACAATTTCTCAAGTTGTAATTGTTCTTGAACAATTTTTCTTTCTAGTGACAACGGTTGTTTTTTCTTTTTCTTTTTAAAAATTAGTGAAGGACACGATCCTTGCAACTTTAAAGGTTTTTTCTGAGTTGAACTTTGAAGCTCATGACCTTATGTGATGGTTTTCCACAGCTATTTATCATCTGGGTTTTCTTGGCCATAAATGTTGGTCAGGCTGCTATATTTATAGCTGAACTTTCTTTTCAGATAGATGCATATGCACAGATGCTTTAGGATTGTCAGTGGACTCCCTGTCCCATGTTTGTGTGTTTTTAATGATGAATTTATGTTTTTTTACTTTAAAAAAGAGAAATTATGAACTTTTTGCATTTGTTGGCTGGGCTTCTGTGGGTCTCTATTATTGATGAAGTCTTCCTTTGTTTGCTATGCGTAGGGCATTGTTCTTTGTAGACTGCACTCCATGGTCTTGAACAGTATTCAGTGTCATTCATGCGTATTAATTAATCAGTGGGTAGTAATTGTCATTCAATCATAATAAGGATATTAACAGTTTAATTTGGTATTGGGGTCCTATTGAAATCTCCCCCATCTCCAAGTCACTGGGTTCCTCCTGAATGCCAAAATATCCTTGCAAAATGGCTAATCAGATAACTTGGTTTTTATTTTTTGATTTCATTTTTTTTCCCAAAGAATTCCACCTGATTAGTAGATGAGAAAGGGGCCTCGGTTCCTTATTTGTAAACCGAGAGTGCAGGCGTTGATAAGCGTAGAGGGGCTAGAAAGAGAAGTTAAGGTCGGTAGGCAGAACAGGGGGGGGGTTTGGGAAAGATAGTAAGTACTTATTATATCAACCACAGGCTCCCGTGTTTCTTACTTTTTTTGAGTAGTATCCCATTCCTCTATGCCATTCCCGCATTCACTCTATCCGTCCAACAAGCTCTCTCTCCCATTGGTAGGCAGAAGACAGGGGTTTTGGAGGGAACTACTAAAGGTGTGTATAAGCCCTACATACAGTGTATGTGTCCCTCCAGCCCAGCTGCCATATACCAAGTAGGAACGAAGATACATTCATTTGGCGTGGGTGCTATGGTGGCCATACTGATGTGTATAAGCCATATGAGAAAGTTAAATGAAGCAAAAAGGGATTGTCGGGCCATACCCCTTTACATGGAAAAACTTAATTTTTGTCGAAGTAAAAGTGCTGCCAGCAAGCTCTATGCTTAGCTTCAGGTAGATAGAGCCGTTCCCCGGCGTGCATCGGGTCACTTCTCCTATAGTGTCCTCCTCCCCTCATGTTCTCCCTCTTCTCTTCATTGGCTCTGATCTCATCAGACTCGTATCCAGCCTCTCTTTCCTCGGTCTCGGTGCTCGGTCCAGGAGAAGAGAAAGACGTCTGGTCGTTTATTTAAAAAAAAACACAAGCCAGACAATGTCATTTGGGATCGGTACGAGTTTAAAACAAAAAGCTGGCATGGTGCAAGCTTTTGAAATTGGACAACATTTTATTCTTTCATGGGAATTTTCCTCTTGGTCAGTATGGGTCATATCCTTAAAAACTTGCGTTGTTTGAGTATATAGTATTTTATTGGTACCTTGTTCCTCGGTCTCGGTGCTTGGTCCAGGAGAAGAGAAAGACGTCTGGTCGTTTATTTAAAAAAAAACACAAGCCAGACAATGTCATTTGGGATCGGTATGAGTTTAAAACAAAAAGCTGGCATGGTGCAAGCTTCTGAAATTGAACAACATTTTATTCTTTCATGGGAATTTTCCTCTTGGTCAGTATGGGTCATATCCTTAAAAACTTGCATTGTTTGAGTATATAGTATTTTATTGGTACCTTGTGGTAAACCATTTTCTCTTCTGTTTGCAATTTAGACAATTATTGTCTGAAATACAAATCTCATGCCTATTTTTCACTTCCCTGTGTTTCTCTCCTTTTCTCTATGACGCTGCAAATTTGTGTTTCTCTCCTTGAGTTTTTGTGTTTCTGATTCCCACAATTGCTGCGTTTCTCTCCTGCTGATTTAATCATTACCCATCAAATGAACACAAAAAAGGAGAAGAAAGTTAAGAAATATGAGGGAGAGAACTGTGATTTGGGGGAAGACAGACACAGAGAGGAAGAAGTTTGGGTTTTTAAAGCTTGGGGTTTTTGTTTTTGTGTTACAAAAAGTTTGGGTTTTTACAACCCATCGATGGAGACAGACACAGAGAAGAAGACGGAGGGGAAAAAGAAAATAAGAAGTAGAAGAAGCAGGAGGAGGAGAGAAGAGAGGGAGAGCGATGGAAAAAAAAAAAGAAGGGAGATGGAGACAGGCGGAGAGAAGAAGAGAGGGAGAGAGAGAATAGAAGAAGCAGGAGGAGGGAGGCAACAGAGAGAAGAAGAGGAAGAGAGATGGAAAAAGAGATGGAGACAGGCGGAGAGAAAAAAGAGGGAGAGAGAGAGAGAAAAACTAATTAAAAACAGAAAGGGAGAGAGAGAGGGAGGCCACCGAGAGAAGAAAGAAAAAAAATAATTTTTTTTTGGGAAGGCATGAGAACGTGTACACGTGTATAGCAAGTCCTTTGACAATCGCTTTTGAGCGATTGTGAATAGCATTCCTCTTTAGACAATTATTGTCTGAAATACAAATCTCATGCCTATTTTTCACTTCCATGGTTTATAACTGAACCATGTTGAATTTGATTTCTGTAAATTGTAGGTATTCTGCTCCAATAAAAGTCGATGTAGAGTACATTCAAGGAAGTCATGATCAAAAGACTAGAGTGGAGAAGGTATTTAGAAATTGTTTCTAGACAGATTTGTTTGAAAATGTGTATTTGGATATAATATGAAGTTTTTTTTTGGCAGAAAGGTGTCGTAATCGGAAGGATGCCTATTATGCTACGGAGTTGCTCCTGCACCCTATATGGGAAAACCGAATCTGAACTTGCCAAACTTGGTTTGTGCAGAACAAAATAAAACTCACTTTGTTTCTTGCCCCCCTTTTTCATCTCCATGCTTTGTTCTGCTCTATAATGAATGTGCATGTCTGTAGGTGAGTGCCCCCTCGACCCTGGAGGATACTTCATAATCAAGGGAAATGAGAAGGTAATATTCTGTCTGCCATAATCTGTTGCTTTTCAATAAATGAGATGGTAACTGAACCATAATTTGTTACTTTATTATAATTTTTCATTTTTAATCCATAAAAAAAAACAGTTGATGAAATAGCTGGGGCCCATGAATTTTCTTTCCTTTCCATTTTTGAGCTATTTTGCCTGCACACACACCCACACCCACACCCACCCACACACACACATATGTGTGTGTATATATATATATATTGTTACATTGGAAGGGATCAAACCCTTGACCTATCCTAATTCTTATCCTTTTCCCCATCCTCTCTCACCACTTGAGCTAACCCCAAGGGTCTTATACATTTTGAGGAACAGTTCGATTTGCATTTTTTTAGGCACCTTTGAGTTTGCTTTTGTTTTTCTTGTGTTGGCTGTCGCGAAGATCTAGCTGTTAGAATGCAGTGAGCTGCTGTCAGATTCTTTAGCTTTCATGTTTTGGTTTTTTCCTCTTTATGCAATTTATGCTGCTGATGAAGATACAAAATAATTTATTTATTCCTCTTTATGCAATTTATGTTGTTGATGAAGATTTTTTTTTTGAGAATAAACACTTTTATTAGCTTAGAACCAAAAGAATTACAAAAGGGAACAAAAAGAAGGGACCCTAAAGGCATAAACCGAAACGAAAACAGAAAAAGACACGTAGAGAAATTACAACACAGCGGCAACTAGATCTCTAGCTATATAGGAGTAAGAGTAGTTCCTGATACAAAACAATTTATTAATATAATACAAACACAGTGAACAAACTGTTCACTGATAATACATAAAAGATCTCTGAACAATCTATCTGCTAGATAGAAACTTCACACAATGTTTGGTAGTATCTCAAGTTAACATTGCAAAACGTGTAAACTAAATGGTATCTCATGGAAACAGCTGCCTGCCAATCCAGATGAATAAAAAGGTGTATCCCAAAATTCAAAGGATGCCTAGTGAACTTAATTCCACAAAATCCTTTTATTTCGTTCCATCCACACAACCCAAATTTATCAATCACCTTACTTTTGCACAAGAATTTTGTTAAAGTACATAAATGTGTGATTCCAGAATCACCTGCTTGGTGCTTCTAGTAAAATCGCTCCCAGGAAAAGCTCTTATGGCAGAAGTGCTTCCCACATAAGTACTCCCAAACAGGCCCTTAGCTTCTCTAAACAATTTGTTAATAGTTGAATACAATAGAGTAGGAGAGACAAGGATGTTCTATACTTTCAGCCTCCTGTTGTCACATAAACCATAATACACCAATGGGGAGATAAACTAACATTAGTACTTTTCCTTTGATTAATGTCAGAAGTATTTTTTTTCTCCTTGAGCATTCATCCAAACTAATACTTGTACCTTGGATGGTACTTTTAGTCTTCCAAATCTTGTGACAAGAAAAGGGGGAGAGAGAACTTATCTATGAACCTACAAAATAGGTACTGTAAACAACCCCGAAGACTCTGAGTTCCAAGCTTCTTCTATCCGGACTAACACCTTGTAATGAAACCGTTTGACAACGAGCTGAACCCCTCTATGCAGTCTTGCTAAACATGGCCAAAAATCTTTTTTTATTTCCTTCTTTCTTCATAGATTTTTGTTTTAGCATATGATGACACTGCAATCCCTTCCAGGTGCTTTTAATGCAGGAACAACTTTCAAAAAACAGGATTATCATTGATATGGACAAGAAGAGGAAGTGAGTTCTTCTTTCTTTGTTTTTCTTTACTATAGGTGTTCGCTGTCTACAGTCCAGGCTTTAGGATATTTTATTTTCTGTTGTTTTATTAGATTTGGGTGCTACTGTGGGGTAGATAGAAGTAGTTTGGTTTTGTTTTTTTTTATAAATAAAATAGAATTCTAGTTTGGTTTCGTTTTTGGTGAGGTATGTATCAAGATGATGGTGAACCTTTATTTCACCGTTTTTCCCCTTCTATTTTGATTATTTTTACTAATTATATTTTTTCATAAACCTTTCATTTTGTTTTAGTTTAAATGCATCTGTTACGAGCAGCTCAGAGAGAATTAAAAGCAAAACTATTATTCAGATGGAAAATCAGAAGATCTCTTTGATGCTTAACCAATTTGTCAAAAAGGTTGTAATGCCACATTTCATTTCAAGAAATTTAAGATTTTGTTTCATGGTATCTTGTCTGTCATATCTAACTGTAGTTTATTTTTATTTTCAAAAACTTTTTCTATAGATTCCTATTATGGTGGTCATGAAGGCTATGGGAATGGAGAGTGATCAAGAAGTAGTACAGATGGTTGGAAGAGATCCTCGATATGCTGCCCTGCTAATGCCATCTATTGAGGTATTAATACGGTCATGGTCAAGTAATGTAAGCAGATGATTAGCTTCTTTGTCTAGAAATGGAATTGGCAAAGTAAATGATGAATTTTTTACCCAACCTAACCCAGTTTTTATTGATTTGGTTTAAATTGAGTTGTGTTGGCTCAGTTTTTTTAATGGGGAAAAATCAGGATAATAGTCTGATTACAACCACCAAAAGTTGTTTAAAAACTCTTTCCAAACCTTAGCTCCAAATAAAAATTATAAAAGAAAATTACAAAAATACTGGAATTTTCTACAATATTAAAACTAAAAGACCTCAAAAAGCTTAGAAAGCACATATGTCAGCTCAAAGCATTGAGTTTATTCATCTCGTTGTTCCCAACTTAGATATTCCATCTCATAAATTGTAAATTTGTAACATTGTGTCTTCTTGTCTCTTCAAAAAATTGGTATTGCCTTCGCCTGGTGCACTCCCATTGTTGTGAACATTTTTAACTTTTTATATTAGTTTACCTTTTTCAGTTGTTATTTGTACATTTTGGGCCTGCAAACCCGTCCTTTTCTGTATT